ATACTTTCTTACTATTGTTGATGATTTTTCTAGGGCTACTTGGACTCATCTACTGGGTTCTAAAAGTATTGCCTTTTCCATGATCAAATTCTTTTTGGCAATGGTCCAAACTCAATTTCATGTTTCTGTCTAAACTATTAGAAGTGACAATGCTTTAGAGCTAGGTTCCAGCCATAATGGCTCTTGCTTCTTTAGTCAACATGGAATTATCCATCAAACTACTTGCCCACACACTCCTCAACAAAAATAGTGTAATTGAAAGAAAATATAGAACACTCCTTGAGGCTTGTGGGGCCTTACTCTTTCAGTCCAAGTTGCCAGTCACCTTTTGGGGGAATTGCCTTTTAACTGCTACATACTTGCTCAATAGAATTCCATCTAAGATTTTTCAAAATAAATCTCTTTATGAGGTATTGTATGGTAAGGCTCCTAATTACTCACATTTGAAGACCTTTGGTTGCCTTGCCTATGCTATTGTTCCTATTCCCCCGAGAGACAAACTTCAACCTAGAGCAATCCCTTATGTTTTCCTGGGCTATCCTTTTGCCAAAAAAGGGTTACAAGTTATACAATCTAGCCTCTAAGAAATGTTTTGTTTCCAGAGATGATGTCTTCCATGAGACATGCTTCCCTTTTGCCACACCTACCACTTCTGCTACATTCTCTTCTCCACCTTTAACTTTTCCCTTTCCTGATTCCCAGGCTACTGGGGAATCTCCCTTTGTCCCTGTCAGTCCTTCTACCTCTTCCCCTGCTCTTAATTCCTTCCCTGCTGAAACTGTGCATGCTGATCCTTCTTTCCCTTCTTCTCCTCCTCTAAGCTTTGACCCTGGCATTACTCCTCCTTCTCTATCCCCTCCTGAAGTTAGGAGGTCTTCTAGGCAACATAACACCCCCTCTTACCTGAAGGATTATGTGTGCAAACTTCCTTCCTTCTCTAGTTCCAGTTTCTCTTCCTCTCCCCTAGAAACTGAACTTTTTTCATACTCTTAAGCTACTTAAGTCACAGCTTGGCAGGATGCCATGAGAAAGGAGTTTGAAGCATTGGATGCTAATCATACTTGGGACATTATTCTTCTGCCTCTTGGTAAGAAGCCAATAAGTTGTAAGTGGGTCTACAAAATTAAATACAAGGGTGATGTCAATGTTGAAAGGTATAAAGCTAGGCTTGTCATTAGGGGGTATACACAGGTTGAAGGGGTTAACTTCATAGAAATATTCTCTCCTATCATTAAGATGTGTACTGTCAATTGTTTAGTTGTTGTGGATGTTAAGAAACACTGGACTCTTTCACAATTAGATATCAATAATGCCTTCCTCCATGGTGACCTAGATGAGGAGGTGTACATGAAGTTGCCCAAGGGTTTGAGTATTTCTAGTGTTTCTGCTCCTTCTGGTTCTGCTCTCCTTATATGTAGATTGAAAAAGTTTCTTTATAGGTTGAGGCAGGCTTCAAGGTAGTGGTATTGACGAGCGCAAAATACACACTTAAATTGTGCTTTCTAATCAAAGATAGTATAGTATAATATCGTATCCACATGGATTGGATTTAAACAGTATTCTCGTAGTTTCTAGCTTGATTGCTATCTAGGAGGACCACAAATTGAGATTTATATGACTAAGAATTGAAATTAACTAAGAATCTAAAGCTATTGACTAATGACTATCGAGACAAGGAATAAGCAACTAAGGTTATCAGTGGAAGAAAATAGGTTTTGACAGGATAGGTGCAAGATAATTCTTCGGGATCTAACACTAGATAATTCACTTCCAATGTTCAAGTGAGTCTCTCGAATTCACTCTATTATTAGTTCAAACGTTCAGCAGAAACTGCTTTCTCGATTAAGTCTTAACCTCATGAGATGAACCAATTTAAGCACTGTGAAGATATGAAAGAATGCATAGTGGATCGGTCTTTAGGAAAACCTCTTTCGATTATTCTCCTAACTAGGTTTAATCCAGGATTCAACTAGCCTCTTTCGATTACTTAGAAAAATCTATGAACTCAACCAACAATATATTGCAAAGCTATCATAAGTTATGCATCTCTCGATTACACAAACTAGTGAATATAGATGCAATAACTAAATCTTCCAAAATAATTCAAATACATAAAACTAGAGTTATAATCCACAAACAATCATCAATACACCAAATCCGTCAAACCCTAAAGGGAACTACTCCATAGACATGGAGAAATTCATCACAAATATAATTAAAGTATAGGAAAACATATATTCGATACAAACTCGGATCTTGAGTGAGGAAGGAATGATAAGATCCTTGTGCTTGTATTATTCTAACTCCTCCTTAGCCTCCTTAGGTTTAAAATCTGTCAAAAGTCCCCCAAATTGTGTTTTCTGGTGTATTTAAGTCGTCCCCAAAGTAAACCCGGACGAAACTACCCTTTTTAGCCGAAATAGGAGATTACTCTAATATTTTTGTGCTACCGCGCCGCGCCATGCGGTGCACTTATAGAGAATTCCAGAACATTTTGCAAAATCTTATCTGGCCATATTTTCACTGCCGCGCCGCGCCTCACGGCGCGACTGTGCAGATTTTACAGAGTAATTTCGTTTTGTCATTTTTTTGATATCCAGACTTGGTCCTCGACCCCCAAACGTGATCTCGGCTTAATTGCTTGGGCTTCTACTCAGACTTCAAAGCTTTAACTTATTCGATTTAGCTCTAAATTACCTTAATAGCTTGGAATCTTTTCCTACAAGGTATAAAACACATAATAAGTGTAAATCACTATCGTTTAAGCTCAAACACACATAAAATTTAGTAATTAGAGTATAATATTATAATTAAAATACGGGTTTATAGCTTACCATCAGGATGCTAAGTTGTCCCAAGCCATATCCTCTAGAGGTTACATACATTCACTTAATGACTACTCCTTGTTTATTAAGGGCAGACCTAGGAATTTAGTTCTCTTGGCAGTCTATGTGGATGATATTATAGTAACTGGGGATGACACTGATAAAATTTCTGCACTCAAACTGTTTTTGGATGATCAATTTAGCATTAAAGACCTGGGTTCTCTACATTATTTCCTGGGGATTGAGGTGTCTGATGTTCCTGGTGGGGTTCTTCTTAATTAGAAGAAATTTATATCTGATTTGCTCCAACAGTTTGATTGTGCTGATGTCTCTCCTGTGGTTTGTCCTTTGGAACTCAATGGTAAATTACATGTTGATTCTGGTACCTTATTTCCTTCTCCTGACAAGTATAAGAGCATGGTAGGTAAGCTCATTTTTCTTACACATACCAAGCCTAATATTTGTTTTGCTGTTCAACATTTGAGTTAGTTCTTGAAGTCTTCTAGAGTTCTCCATATGTCTGCTGCTTTTCATGCCCTTAGATATCTTAAGGGCACTGTGGATCTGGGCCTCTTTTATTCAGATTCTCTTAATTTCTCCATTCATGCCTTCTCAGACAGTGATTGGGCTGCCTGCGCTGATACTCGCAGATCTGTTACTGGTTTCTGTGTTATTTTGGGGGATAGTCTCATCAGCTGAAAGTCCAAAAAGTAGCCCGTTATGTCATTGTCCTCTGTTGAGACTGAATATTGGGCTCTTAGTAAGGTGATTGCTGAACTGGCTTGATTTTCTAGGCTGCTCAATGATTTTGGTATCTCTGTATCTCTTCCCTTTTCTGTCTTTTGTGACAATCAGGTAGCTTTACATATAGTTAAGAATCCAGTTTTTCATAAAAAGACCAAGCATATTGAAGTTGACTGTCACTTTAAACTTTCTGATGGTCTGATCCAGCTATCTCATGTCCCTACTACTCAACAATTGGCAGATGTTCTCACCAAGCTCCTTCCTGGTGCTCTTCATCATGATCTTTTGGGCAAGTTGAAGGTGGTTTCCCCTTCCAACTTGGNAGAGTTTATTTAATTAGCCTTTTTTTAAAAATATTTTTGCCACTCTGTATTTGTAGCCCATTTTTACTCTTAGCCCATTGTTGTATTTGCTTTCATTAGCTAGCCTTAGTGAGCCCATCATAAAAATATGGGAGTTTGTTTCTAGAAAGACCCATTAGGTCATTCTCATATGTAACAAACGTATACAAACCCCAATTCTCTCTCATTGATAGATGAAACCCTAATTAAGTGTTCCTCTTCTCCTACTTGATTCATAATGTTTTCAAACCTTGAAATAACATCTTAAAAGATAAAATTATGAATAAGTTTAAGAAGTATTTATAAATTACATTACAATAAGTACTTTTATGTATTAAATATATCTAAAATTTCTATACATGTAATGTCGGGTTATATTAGTTTGGTTTCGGTTTGACTTATTTTAGTTAAAACCAAACCAATTATGACTGGTTTTTTTTCCAACACCAAACCAAATCAAACCGAACCATAGTCGGGTTTATTTTCTCGGTTTGATTCGGATTATCAGTTTGGTGTGGTTTGTCGGTTTCCTTTGTACACCCCTAGTTAGAAGTAGTCTCGGCTTCACCTTGCCCTCAAAATCCTATATTAGGAGTTAAGTACTTTCTTCATTTTAATTTTAAATGATATATTTCACGAGAGTCAAATAGTATAAAGTTTAACCAATATCTTAAATATCTTTTTATCATATTGAAAGGAAAAAATTGTAACTTATAGTATTTATCGTATAGTTTTGAATATCTAAATTTTAATTTTAAAATATTTAATTAAAATAATCTAATTTAGCTTCAAAGTTTAGTCAAATTGACTTCTAATAAACAAAATAAGTCATATGATCGAATTGAAATAGTCGGAATAGCCGTTAACTTTCATATGCTACGCTTAGGTCTTCATTTTGTTTTTTGGGGTACCCATTTCATGTCGTTAATGGATGTCAAATTAACAAATTAGACATAAAATAATTCCAACAAACAGTTGTTATGACATATTCATAAGTACTATAGTCATTCTTAATTTAAAAACACCTATAAATATTTGTCTCTATATATCTCTTGAGGAATTACAGTCATTTTCATATTTCAAAGTATTACTATATCTCATAATTAACACTAGAAATCAAATCCATCAAGTCAGCCTCCGTATTCACTTCACCAGCTTGCATCAATTGGGGCAGTTCATTATAAGGAATCTCCAAATCATCAAACAGTTTGTCGTCCAAAGCAAATTCTGGGACTTGACTAAAATCATAATCAGCAACTAATTGCTGGATATTGCCTTTGTCACATAACTCAAATGGCTCTAATTTAGGTGCATTATTATTAAGGGTTGTGTCATTGCTACCTTTTTCGAAGTTCAAACTTTTGATATAATTCTGGAGGAGAGAGCTTGGCCTTGGCCATTTGGTGCGGCATTTTCGTCTTGAAAATTGCCTTCTTTTTGTTGCATTCCAATGGTTTTTAATTGAATTTTCAGTTCTTCCAGGTATTCTTTTTGCAATTTCGGACCATTTATTTCCTACTTCCGCATGAGCTGAGATTAAGACCCTGTCTTCCTCCTCTGTCCATAAATCCTTCTGCTCAAAAACAATTACAAAATAAATTAAAATCAATAAATCTAATGGTACCGGTGAAATTCTCATATACAATGGTATTGGTTCAATTCACTGTCTCCTTTTGTAATAAAAAGAACTTTAAAATAAAAAATAAGGGAATTGTAAGTTTTAGCTACACTTAAAATGTAAGACAGCCCGGTACACTAAGTTTTAGCTATGCGCGGGGTCCGAGAAAGAGCCGGACTACAAGGGCCTATTGTACGCAGTCTTATCCTGCATTTCTGCAAGATGCTGTTTACACAGCTCGAACCCGTGACCTCCTGGTCACATGACAATAATTTTATCAGTTACACCAAGACTCTCCTTCAAGTGTAGACGTAGGAAAAACGCATATATATGATCCAATTGAAATGAAGAAGCCAATTGTTTGGAAAGGGAGATGTTAGAAACATTAGCATTATGGATTTCGTAAAAATATTATAATTCCGTCTCTAAATCATCTTATAAAACAAATTATCAAAAAATTATATTAGGTACGAGCGATTTAATGATAAATTAGCGACAAAATTTCGTAACTAATTCTTGTTATTTTGTAGAGTTAGCATATCATTTTCTTTTTAATTAATTTTTTTCCCCGTATAATTCAAAGTTTATGGATACACGTTGTAAGCATTTGAATGAGAAATTCTACCACATGCATATATACAGATACAGAAAGAAAGACCTCAAGGAAAGCAAAAAGACCCTTTAGATGGGAGGTGATAAACTTACATTTAACAAAGATAAAAATAACAAATCTGGGAGGATAGTCAAAACAAAAGAAAGGAAAGAAATAGTTAATACCAAAGGAAGAAGTAAAATCATACTTTGATATCAGGTCTAAGATGATTGTGCCACCTCTCTCTACATTGCTTCCCTATTCTCCCTTTCAGCGTTTGAGCAATTTGAGACCATTTTCTAACTCCAAACTTCTCTACCAATTGTATCAAAAGCCTGTGCACGTATCATGTATATAGTATAAGATTACTTAAATTTCCTAAACGTAAAACATCCAAAGGAATTATTTAATACTAATAAGTAACATTGGTTTTTATCCTTCTTCCCAAAAAGAAACTAAAATACCTGTCTTCTTCAATAGTCCATTGTCCTTTGGCTGATTTAGAGTACTTTTTTCGACCCCTTCCTAGTTTTCTCATAGATGAAGAAGATAAACTGTTCTCATTGCTCTTTGTAATTTGTTTCTTATTCTTTCTTCCACCAATTTCTTTTTGACCATAATTACCATTATTATCAGCAGTAGTAATGCATGAACTTTCATCAGGCACAACATTAAAGTTGACTAGTGTACTACCACTTGTACCATTTTGATCAAATGGCTTAAACTCATAATTGAAGTTGAAATCTTGATCCATTGATGAATAATTATCCTTAATATTCGAGAATGGATCAAATAACGGGTCATAACCATTCGTTTCGATCATGAAATTGTGATCAGGGATGTTGAGGGTTGGAAGGGTAAAGGAAAGATCAAGGTGATGAAAATCTTGAAGATAATCTTTAGAGAGTGTGCAAAAAACATCATTCATATCTTCATTGTTGTATGGCTGAATAGAGAAGTCTTGTTTACTACTTTGATTAAACTCCATGGGAAGGAATAAAACATGAGAGGAAGAATTAGGAGGAAGGAAAAAAAAATGGTGATTTCAGATTTTCATTCTCTCTTTTTGCTATATTTCTATGTTATGTTAATAGTAGTAGTAAAGAATAGGGAGAGACATTTATTGCAGTGTGAATGTATCTGGACCTCTTGTAACCTGGATGATCCAATGGCTATTCTTTGGTCAAAACTTGAGAAATGTTTTTACCAAATTGGGATTGTTTTGTAATAATCATAATATTTCTCTTTTTGTTGAATTTTGTCAATTTGATGACATAATCTTTGATTTCTCTGCTATTTGATTCTGCAAAGATTGAGTCCTCTTTCGAGATATATTTTGGAGTGTGCGACTATATCCTCTTGCTAATCACATTGACACAAATTCACAAGTTCTTTTTTCTTTGTTTTCCCACCATAACTAATTCTCATATACTTGTATTTAACTAAATTATTTTTTTTATCATAAAATTAATCTAGTTAGTACCATATCGATTTTTAATATGTAGTTTTTGATTGTTTATATAAAATAAGCATAGAATGAAAGACATTATTTTTTAAGTATAAGCTAAAATTCTCCAAGAACGGCATTTTTGGTCATGGCATTTGTGTAGAGATAAAAAAAAAAAAATCTTTTTTGCCATAGTTTTATCCTAATGTCCAATTTGGAATGTTACAATTATAGTACTCTAATTTCTTTTTACCATGCAAAAAGGTCAAACACAAGAAATCTAACGACAATAGTCAACAAGAATGTCCTTAAAGGTACTTTTAAAAGACTTTGAAAACAAGTCTATTTTGCATGAGACAAGTGTCCTCGCTTATTAAAGTCAAGACAATAAATGACATAAATCGATTTTGTAACTGAAGCACTCTCCCCCTCTTACCTCTTTTCTATTGTAGCATTAAATTTCGAAATTACTAATTGTCATTTAAAGTGATATCAATACTAAATTTGTCATATAAGACCTAGAGGAAGTTAGTGAATGTATGTTAATTCCATTTAATTAAGAATAGGATAGTTACTAGGTTTGACCAGAGTATACTCTTATATTTTAATTATTTGTAGTAAGTCGTTTAGGCAAACAACAACAATTTGGATTTGATTATTGTATAAGGTAAAATATGATATGACGCGTGACTTACTAAAAGGAGGACACGTGGAATTCAAGATGGAATGGCTGAGAACTGAACGCAGTCACTGTACTTGTCACCGGAACGGATAACGTTCATAAAAGTGATATAAATGCTCTGCGCCCGGTTGCATTTACTAAGAAATATTCTACAGCATTAAGAGCGACGGTCCATTACAAAGAATTTGGCATTTACACTCAACGTTACATCTTAATCAACGACCCTCATAATTGACATTAAAGGAGGGTACGATCCTAGGACCTTCTTCCCTAGACATAACTATAAATAGTGAGCCGAGTTATCATTGTAAGGGACACGAAATTTCTGGCAAGAACATATATTATATTCTATACAAAGCTTTATACAATCTCACTCTCTTGCTTTTTGATCCCATCATTGCTGTGTTCGGAAACCGTGTTCACGGAATCACTATCTTTGCTATTTCATCTACATTCCAAGGCTAAGTACTGCGTATTTCTTCGATAATTATATTATATCGGGATCAAATTAGTTCACTTATCTAGAAACTACGTATAAATTTAACTGTGCTATTTTACGGGTAAACAATTATACTTTATATTTTAATTATTGGTGGACTGAAAAGTATCTCTTTGAAACTTCCCGGAGATGTGTGATTATGAACTTAAAACAATGCCTTTGTTGTGTTCTAAAAGCAACAAAATTAAATGGGTAATCAAAATTTGGCATGAAAAGGACTAAACTCTTTGCTATCATTTGTCTCTTGCATGGTATGCTTGTATTCGAATATGTTGAAGACTACAAGAATATGTTAGGGTTTTACCCTAAATTTCTTATCTATTAGGACTCTCTTCATTGCGTGAAGGGAAAAAGACTCCTAAAAGAAATAAATTTTTTTCACATGCCTTATTCTTTTTTTGGAAAAGAAGTTTTGTACTTCTATAAATTGAGGCTTCCTAACAACAATAACAACCTCCACAATGTAGTGGTTAGGAGAATCATGTATAAGAAAAGATTTTTCTCTTAATAGTTTGTTTTATTTTATATTAATTTTTATATGTAGGTCAATTGTCCAATCCCCATTATAGTATCATATTTTAGTATAATTATTTTGTTGTCTAATTTATTATCCACCAAGATTTGAATTATTAGATTCCGCATGCATCATTCTATTTCGACCCCAACAGAATAAGGTAGATAAGGTATTTATCTTTTTTGAAAAACAACCTGGCGGAGTTATAAATTTTGTCCCGATCCTATATATTTAACTAAATACGCCATAACAAGATTCACACTTTCTAAAATCTTGTCTACGATTTATGGCACAGCCAACACACAAAATTACCAGATATAGCAGTTGACAACTTGTTGTGCCACCAATTTACCCGCGGTCTCGACTCTCAGAAAATCTTATAAGCATCTCTAGCTATCACAGGACAAATATCTTGTTAAGGAAATGTTGGAAAAATTAACCCCCCACAGAAATAATATTCACGGTATACGACTATAATAAATACGGATTACTAAAATACTGTAACTAACGGTAATAATAAGAAGAACAAGGACACCGAGATTTTTACGTGAAAAACCCTTCTGAATAAAGGAAAAACTACGGCCCGAGAGGAGCAACTGATTTCACTATAGCGAGGATTTTACAATTTATGGTACCGAGTAAAATACTCCAAGACCACTAAACACTCAAAAGAAATAACCCTCTTTTGATTTTTTCACCTCACTACAATACCGCTCAAACTCTCTATATTTTTCCTCATAGAGTATTTTGCTTCTTACTCTGTAAATCACTCTCTTTCTCTTTGTTTTTTGGTGTGATTATAAATGAAGGTAGAGGCACCAATTTATAGTTGAAGAATGCCCATATTTATGTATGCAATGACATCAATATTCACTTCAAAAGCTAGTTGCCCAAATCAAACTTCTAAATTGGTTGGCTTGAGAAAATCAAAAAAGGAAGCTTCATCTTCTTTCACATGGGCCATGGGATGGACCCAATAAATCTCCCTCTCCAGTCCCATGTATCTGAAGGAGGTAACACCGGAGTTTCTAGTTTGAGTGCACGCCGACAAGTTCTTTGCATATCTCGAACTTCTTTCTTGGTACTAACCTTGGTCAGCATATCCGAAGGATTCTCATTTGTATGGATCTTTTTGACCTGCATAGATCCATCCTCTATCATTTCTCAAATCCAGTAATATCTCATGTCGATATGCTTCATCCTTGCATGATACATGGTGTTTTTGCTCATGTCTATTGTACTTTTTCAGTCACAATAGACAACATACTCCTTTTGATGTAATCCAAGCTCTCAAAGGAGTTGTTTCAGCAAAACCATCTCCTTTCCAGCTTTAGTAGCAGAAATATATTCTGCTTCAGTTGTAGAGAGTACAACACACTTCTGCAACTTCAACTGCCATGATATAGCTCCCCCTGAAAAAGTGAACAGGTATCTTATAGTAGATTTACGATTATCAAGATTACCTGCCATATCAACATCTGTGTAGCCCTTCAAGATTGGATTTGATCTCCCAAAACACAAGCATTCATCTGAGATTCTTTTTAGATACCTAAGTATCCACTTCACAGCTTTCCAATATTTTTTTCTGGGATTATCAAGAAACCTTCTAATAATATCGACAACATGAGTAATATTAGGTCTGGTACATACCATTGCATATATTAGGCTCCCGACGGTAGATGAATATGGAACTTTAGCCATACTTTCTTTATCTTCCTTTGTTGTAGGTCACATTGTCTTGCTCAACTTCACATGACCAGCAAGAGACGTGCTAACTGGTTTAGCACTCATCATGTAGTAGCGTTTAAGTATACGTTCAATATACTTATGTTGTGACAGCAACAACTTACTATTTGTCCTATCTCGGACAATCTCCATTCCTAGAATTTGTTGCGCTGGACCCAAGTCTTTCATGTCAAATGACTTGGACAAATCTTCCTTCAACTTGGCAATCAACTTCTTGTCTTGTCCTACAATCAACATATCATCCACATATAACAACAAGATAATAAAGTTATTGTTAAAGAATTTCTTATAATACACATGGATCTGAAAAAGTCTTTGTGTACGTTTGAATTCTCATGAATGAGTCAAACTTCTTGTACCACTGCCTAGGCGCTTGTTTCAGCCCATAAAGACTCTTTTTCAACTTGCACACCATGTGTTTCTTCGCCTTTACTTCAAAACCTTCTGGCTGCTCCATATAGACCTCTTCTTCCAAATCTCCATGCAGAAATACAGTTTTCATGCCCAACTGCTCCACTTTAAGATCTAGGCTAGCTGCCAAGCTCAAGATTGTTCGTATAGAAGTCATTTTGACAACAAGTGAGAAAATTTCATCAAAATCAATACCTTTCTTCTGTACGAAACCTTTTACTACCAATCGAGCTTTGTGTCTGACTAGCTTGCCGTTGCCATCTTTCTTGAGCTTAAAGACCCATTTGCACTTGCGCGGTCTTTTGCCTTTTATAAGTTAAACCAGTTCGTACGTATCATTCTTTTGTAAAGAATTCATCTCTTCTTGCATGGCTTCCATCCACTGGATTTGTTCCGAATGAGATAGCACCTCCTTGAAATTCTCTGGCTCCCCCTCATCAGTGACGATGATATACTCTGAAGAAGGATACCTTGTGGACTCTACCTTCTCTCTTTCAGATCTTCTCAAAGGTTGTTGTCCTTCTTGTTGTTGTTGTTGCTCTCCTTCTTCCTCTTGTGGACTAGGGTACTCCCTCTGCTCAACAACCTCTTCATCCACACCTTCTGTGTTCCATTCTTTATATGTGGAAGGATTATGTATAGGTACAGTAGGAGTAGTAACAAAGTTAGTAACTGTACCATTATCATTT